GGCGGCTGGGTTCCACAAAATCCGCTCTCAATAAAAATTACCCTGAAATGACTGGGTTCCTTATTATTAATAAATGATAAGAAGATTCAGACTTTCGGGGAGAAATATTATTTAATCAATTTCTAGAAAATTCCAGTACCAAAATGTGAATCAGTTATCTAATTAATTAAACCCCGTTATTTTCGAATTATTTCTCTTTCCGTTATACTCTAAATCACGATCAGAAAATCACACAATTCATACACCGATCTAACGACTCAATATAAAATCAATTCCCTCAACGTCATCCGTCAATTAATAAAATGCTAGTCAAAGATAATGTAAAGAAAGTCAATAAATGGAAAAATCTATCAAGAAGTCAAAAAAAATAAAGTAACTAACCGGGTTACTGCAAGGTCGAATGTCACAACAAAGGAATCGATGAGAAGAACAACGAAAACTGTTGCGAGAACAATAATTCAAAATTGGAGTCTGATTCTCAAACGACGCGATTCGGATTACCACGAAAAATACTAATCACAATTACCAAAGCCGGTGAATCTGCCTAACGCAAGGTCACGGCTACACGATACAAAAATACGGAAATCAAGCATCGACAAAGACGCTGTAATTTCAAATCACGTCGATAATTCCTACACTGTTCGGTAATGCCAAAATTCTAAATTAAATAAATTAATTAATATACGAACAGCGATAATGCGAAAATTCCCTGAAGCTGAAACATTGCCCCGAGAATTCCACTTTGGATATCCGAATTTTTCCAAAGTGAATGCGAAACGAGAGTTGCTACTTACGACAAATGTTTGAAACACTGAATTTCAATCGGAAGAATCCGACATAAATATTTTTTTTAAAAACTCGTAAATTGATACAATAAGAGGTTCACTGAATTTTTCCCGAAACCGTTATAATCCTCCGCTGAGCGAGAAACCAGATCTCGTCAAAATCCGAAAGCCAAAAATCTAATGGCGTCATTCGCCATGGACGAAAACCGTTTGTCCAAAAGAAAGCTAATTTCACGAGATCCCGCTCTCTATTGCAATTAATAAATTAACGATTAAGTATATCCACCGCTCACCAGAACTGAAGAAATCTCAGCAACAAATTCTCCGGAAAAAGTTGGGACTCCCAATAAATCGTCAAAGCAAGATGTCGGAGACAACGAGAATTCGGGCGTCGGGACACGGTAATAATTTTCAGAATTCACGAAAAACTTGCGAACTGTCAGTCTCGCCATCCAAACGAGAAGTAAGCTCCTCGGTACGCTCGATGGTACATTTTCTCGATTGCCGAAAATTCAGCCCTCTCATTGGCTGTTACTTTCACCAAAGAGACTTTTGATTGGAGAGTGATGACGACGTCAACTCTCCACCGGAATCCACACCGGACAACCACGTGATTTCTAATTTTCCCTCCAAATCCACAGGGATAAAACCAAGCGATAAAAATGTAGTTCCAACTACTCACAAACCGCATAATGATAAATAACCATTAATTTATGTTTCAGGTCCTGTAACAATGGACCGAAAATATTATTTTCACCTAGATTCATTCGGCGCTCGAGCTCTCCAATTCTGGCTCCAGTAGCTGGCGCCGCGACACGGCCAACCTGCGTACTCCTCAACCGGCGTGGATATTCAAACTCCAGATCCACCCCAGACTCTGCAGAACCGTTGCTCCGAGACCCAATTTCAGCATCTAAATTCTTGCATCTCATCCCAGTCCTCGTTTAGGCTCATCCAGATCCCCCGATGTGCTCCGATGAACGGTAGAGTGGAATGATTCAATACAAACCAAAAAGATACTCAATAAATAGTTGAACAAAAATCTAGATTTTGACTCTCGCTTCGCTTTCGCAGTGACTTCTCGTCTGGATGTTTAAATGAAACCGCAGAACGGTCGAAAGATGAGAATAACACGTTACATCATATAGAAAAACTTCGTATAGAAAATTTTCGTATAGAAAAGTCCGAATATCATATACGAAAAACCTATAGAAATCGTATAGGATCATTCTATACACAATTCGTATAGAAAAGTCCGAATATCATATACGAAAAACCTATAGAAATCGTATAGGATCATTCTATACACAATTCGTATAGAAAAGTTCTATACGATTTTTTCATACGTGACGGCGTGGTGAGGGGAAAAAATGTGGAGAAATTTATGATTTTTCGTTAATACATTTTTTGATCAATTAAGAAACCATGTGCAAAATCTCCGATAACCTAGGAGCTGGGTAACAACAGAAATAATTTCTAAAATTACTGCTTATGTATGAGGTTAAATGGGGCATCGGCAAGTTCAGCGTTTTTCCCATATTACCGACTGGTCCATAATGCAGCGAAAGTGCTAGAGTTATTTATGCTCCATTTGAAGTTACGCATAAGTATTAACTTTGGAAATAATTTCTGTTCTTATCCAACCCTAGACTATGTGAGATTTTCCACATGGTTTCTTAGAGGATCAAAGAATCTATTTAAGAAAAAATCATCAATTTCTCCACTTTTTTTTTCTCTGACTGATAACCTAGGAGCTGGGTAACAACAGAAATAATTTCTAAAATTACTGCTTATGTATGAGGTTAAATGGGGCATCGGCAAGTTCAGCGTTTTTCCCATATTACCGACTGGTCCATAATGCAGTAAAAGTGCTAGAGTTATTTATGCTCCATTTGAAGTTACGCATAAGTATTAACTTTGGAAATAATTTCTGTTCTTATCCAACCCTAGACTATGTGAGATTTTCCACATGGTTTCTTAGAGGATCAAAGAATCTATTTAAGAAAAAATCATCAATTTCTCCACTTTTTTTTTCTCTGACCACGCCGTCACATCCTTGAAATCTTGTTCGGATTTCGCAGTACGCTCAAACCGAATCAGAGCGATGTAAATAAAATAATGATCAAAAAAATAATCGATGGGAATTGTAACTCAATTCAATTGCTATTTAGTAGGGGTGAGGGAGGAAGGGGATATGATATCTGGATGTCGCTCAGAGACTTCTCAATGATAGTTTTNGGATATCTCGGAATCTAAGAGAGATAGCAAAATTTTGCTCATGACCTTTTTTGTAACCCTTAGTTGGCTCTACAAAAAAGGTTTGTTTGGAATTCAGCTATTCAAACTAGTCAAATGGTCACCGGGCTCAACGAAATTCTCGAGAAACTTCCNTCAGAGACTTCTCAATGATAGTTTTTCACTTTCTTTGAGGGTTGAAGAGTAAATTCGCTAGATAGATAGAAACCGAGTAGATTTTTTGGTATTTTATGATTTTTTCTAGAGAGTAGTGGTAATGGTGGAGGTGATAGGAGGATGCTCAGGAAATTTCTGATGATCTTTTTTTAGTTCTGCTGACTTAATTAGAAAAATTTGATGAAGATTTTGCCTATCACTGTCTTCATTCCTTCTCCCTACAGCTATTGGGGGATAACAGAGCATTTTTTGGGATATTTTCAAGGGCTGTTTATGAGGGCAGAAGGGTAGACAAACCACCGAAATGCGGGCAAATTTTTGCTTCACGAATTCCCTCATACTCTCGTGGTGGTGAGACATTGGTTGTGATAATTTTTGGGCCTCAGAATTGAACGAACGAAGAGAATTCTTGAAGCAAAAATTTGCCCGCATTTCGGTAGTTTTTTTTACCTTCCTATCCTCTTAAGTGGTGGCGAGTTGAGAATCTGTGTGAAGATGACAGATAGGATTTTTCAAAATATTTGTTGAATGAATTAGAGGTAGAAGTAGTTCACGAAATGGCGACGCCTTCGGCTCGCGCTGCTAACATCACGCCGTCCCTTAAAACACTTTTCTCGGCTAGGCGCACAATATACTATTTCGCAAAAAATTAGATATCTCGCTTCAATTCCAAGATATTTAGAAAAAACTGACTCCTAAGAAAAAATAAATTCATCTTTTGCCCCTGCTACACTCGTAAGTTCTTCACAGCACCAACATTTCCTAAATTTTACGACGAGAAGAAGAAAAATGGAATAAAACGTGGGGATCACTATGACATTGACGTTTTAAATTTTCTTTTCGTGATTTTCACAATAAAATTAATTATGACAAAAAACACAATTCTTTTCGAAAAATTGAGAATATTTTCCACAGAATCGATATTTTCAAAAAAAAATTTAAATTAATTATAGTGCTGGATCACTCCAACTGAAAAATATAGTTTTGAAGCAGAAAAAAATTAATCTGTCAATTATTGAATTATAGAGCTCCTGCAGCGCACATTTTCCTTTTTTTTTACCTGTATTTTACGATGAGAAAATAAAAATAATACCAAAAAGTTTTAAAGTCTTACTTTAGATCGGTATTTGGTGGAATCGCTCATATGTATGTATATTTATATATATACATATATATTCTCTATAATATTGATAATTATAATATGTGTGTATTAATATGCGGACTTCCTTTGTTTTTTATACATGCATTGATTATTCATGCGAATAATATCTATTTACAATATTTATACAAAAAAATTTCACATTTATCTTTATACATTCTGGTATTATATTACATCAGTACACAAAAAGGCTGTGAATTGAAAATTACGTCTAGGGCAGAAAACAATTGGACCAAGAGAGACTGTTTTTATGTCTGCCTATTTAATATGGAATTGATGAATTACAGTACATTCTTGTTATGCTAGCTTCCTTTTTTAAGTCTGTATTTTCTCTGCATCAATCAAATAGTCTCTTCACATCATTCTGGAGAACTTCGTTCCAAGCGTGAAGCGGGCGTCACATTACGATGTTTGAACAACAGAGAAACATAAGTGCTAGGGGTTCATCAGGCTGATCTTCTTCACTACGCTTATTTATTATCTAGCTGACGAATTATTTATGGAATATTGGTGACCAGCCTCCCCGATGTGTTCTAACTCTAGACAACATTTTCTTCAAAAATTTCAAATTCCTGAAAATCATCCTTCAGGCTTTTTGTGATAGTATTTCGTCTTATTACAGAAAAGAAGGAAAATCAGTAACCTTTCTTTTAAAAGAAACAATTGCTATTTTATTAGGTAATTAGGTCGTAACATTGCCACATGAAATATACAATATCGTACACTATTATTCACTGAAAAATGTTCTCCGCTGCAAAGAATGTCGTTTCTTTTATTTTTCGGTTTCATCCCTCGGGATAACACGTGACCCATATTCAATATATATTCTTACATTCTGCTCTCCTTGTTTCCGTCTCAAATATAATATTACCTTCATTGAGTCCTTAGAGATGGAATTTTTGGCTTCCGGCATTGAAGAAAAATAGATTCATTTTTATTTTTGTTTGTCATTAATGATCATTCAGTGGGTTCTTCTCTTGCTTTTAGTAGAATTTGTAAAGCCCAACAATTTTTGAATTCAATTAAGTTTACGCGGAAGCTAGCTGCCGCCATACGGAGTGTCACATCGTGGACATGTAGGGCCAGTTGAAGCTGCTACCACTCAGTAGCATGTCTCTGATGAGTGTTTCAATTGGCGTTTTACCGACAAGCCGTACGAAAAATAATTGCTCGATCACTTGAGATGAAACGGTTCGCAGAGATGGTAGTCTCAGCAGGAGTTTACCAAACCTCGTTGGTTGATTAGGATACTGTGTTCTGCAGTATTCTTCCAGCGCACATTGAGATTTTTCTTGCAAGGATTCGATGTGTGCTACATCTGACAGACCACAGGCATCTGCAATCAAAGTTCGAAAAAATGTATTAATTTACAAATTGAGAAGTGTGTTTGTCGAGTCGTTTGTCGCATCTGCTTTCCAGGATATGCAAGTTTTTCCTTTGACTATTCCTATTTGAAGCAATGTTAGATTACCCTTCCGGTCCTTCATAGGATCGGAAGATCCTAATAGATNTGCTACGTCGAAGAGGAAGCCGAGAATTGACGCAAAAACCAATGAGTAACCCTCGGTTACGGACACGGATTTTTCTATAGGGGATATCTCGGAATCTAAGAGAGATAGCAAAATTTTGCTCATGACCTTTTTTGTAACCCTTAGTTGGCTCTACAAAAAAGGTTTGTTTGGAATTCAGCTATTCAAACTAGTCAAATGGTCACCGGGCTCAACGAAATTCTCGAGAAACTTCCGGACCCGTCGGGATCACGGTCAGCTACGAAGAAAATCGCCGAAAAAGAAGTAGTATCGTTCTAGCCACCGAAAGAGTCACTCTAATCGTAATTGTGTTGCCATAACCGCTCTATCGAGTACATCACCGGAGTACATCGACGCGATATATTTAAGTCTAGCGCTTCGTACAGCGTCTTTATTCAATTCAATTATCAATTCATTCCGAGTTAATTATCAACTATTTGAGTCAATCATCAAGTTCAATATCGAGAGAATCTCAAGTGTAGTGCATTTTTTCAAACTAGCATTTAATTGACTTGTCGAGCAACTCAACAGTGTAACATTATTAATCTATCAAGACGCGTGGGTTATTCCACAATAAAGTACATCAACAGTGTGATTTTATAATTCCGCGTGTTTTAATTTTTCACCTCCTTCCACAATTCCACTTTTCCCCAACCGGCATCTCAATTTAGCTTCAATCTCAAACAAATGGTCCTTCGAGCCGGATTGGGAAAAAGTGCGTGAGAGTGAGTGGAAAATTCTAGAATAAAAGGGACGCCTCGTGTGTAACGGACTTTCGGGTTCCACACGAGCAAATCTACGGACAGGTCAAGACAATCAACAGTGCAGAGTGTTGTGCCTAGTGTTTACAGTTGAAGTTCGGTATTGTAAACACCGGTAGTGACATTTCGACCTCTAGTGCTGTGCAACTTCGGAAAACCTCGGTCTCCGTCGGGACTAGCCGGGGCCCAAGCCGCGCGCGCTACGCGAAATCCAACAG